AAAAAAAAAAAAAATCACAAAAACACAAAAACAAATACTATATACTGTTAGCGAGCTCAATTTTAGAGAGAAAAATCGAGAATTCTGGAAAAAATGATTATGCGCAACTTAACTTTCCCGCTTCTCATTCATCATGTATATAGTATGCACTTACAAGACAAAACGACACCGTGTGCCATAAATGAAACGGTGTCGTATTTAACCAAAAGTGTTGAACAGAAAACGTAATAAGAAAATTACAACTTTAAGCTATGAGTAAGGAGCAGAAAATAAAACTACACTTTATGCAAAGACATGTCAATTCCAACAGCCTCCCCTCAAGTTGGGCGTGGGAAAACATGAAACACGCCCAACTTGGACAGTAGCATACGAAAATGAGGCCCGTGTAGGATCTTGGTGAACAAATCAGCTAGTTGTAGACGAGTGGAGACGTAGGTGGGAACAACAAAACCAGCCTTAAACTTATCTCGAACCAGGTGACAATCGATTTCCAAGTGTTTCGTTCGCTCATGAAAGACGGGATTGGCCGTTATGTGTAGAGCCGCATTATTATCACAGAACAGAGGAACAGGAAGATCAATGTGAAGACGGAAATCTTGAGCAATATATGTAATCCAAAGGAGTTCAGAAACTGTGGAGGCTAATGCACGATATTCGGCTTCAGCCGAAGATCTGGAGACGGTTTGTTGTTTCTTACTCTTCCAAGAAATGAGGGATCCACCAAGGAAGATACAATAACCAGTGATGGACCGACGTGTGTCCTTGCACGCGGCCCAATCGGCATCACTATAGGCAAGCAAAGAGGGGTTCTGATTTCTGGGAAAGCAAAGACCCAAAGAGGGTGAACCCTTGAGGTACCGCAAGATATGAAGAGCAGCATCCCAATGAGATGTAAACGGGTCACTAACAAATTGACTAAGTTGTTGAGTAGCATAAGTAATATCAGGCCTAGTTAAATTGAGGTAGAGTAGGCGACCAATAAGCCTTCTAAAGAGATCAGGCTGTTCAAGCCTAGCTCCATCTTGTGCCTGCAATTTCAGCCCATGTGGCAGTGGAGTGGCAGCTTCAGTACAATTTAGCAAGTTCATGTCCCCCAAAAGATCCATGACATATTTCTTCTGACAGAGAAGTATACCCTGTGGCTCATGAAATAGCTCAATGCCTAGAAAATATTTGGCTAGGCCTAAGTCCTTAATGGTGAATTCTTGATGTAAAAAGATTTTAAAATCAGAGATAAGAGAATCACAAGAACCTGTGATCAAGACATCATCAACGTACACCAAAATAGCCAAAAAATTGTCCTGTGCTTGCATGGTGAAGAGACAGTGATCATGAACAGATTGCACAAGTCCAAACAAAGATAGTTTCCGACATAGCTCATTGTTCCATTCTCGGGATGCTTGCTTAAGTCCATAGAGACTCTTATGTAATTTGCAAACCTGCCCCTTACCTGCCATCTTGTAACCCAATGGTGGTTGCATGTAGACTTCTTCACTAAGAAAACCGTGCAAAAATGCGTTGTTGACATCGACTTGGTAAAGATTCCAACCTTTCATGGCAGCAATAGATATAAACATTCTGACAGTAACCATCTTGGCCACCGGAGAGAAACTATCAAAATAATCCACCCCTTCTATTTGGTTGTAACCCTTGGCTACTAATCGCGCCTTAAACCGGTCCACCGAACCATCCGGTTTTCTTTTAATTTTATATACCCATTTGCTACCAATGGCTCTTTTTCCTTCAGGCAAGGTAGTCATGGACCAAGTATTGTTTTTTTCCAAAGCTTCAATCTCCTCTTGCATGGCCTGCACCCATGCAGGATGCTTGTGAGCTTGACTAAAATGTAGTGGCTCCTTTTCAACTGTTAGATTAGCCATGAAGGCTGCACAGTCAAGTGAAAAACAAGTTGACTTATCCAGAATTGCATTGCAATCATAATCTTGAAGCCATTGAGGCTCTCTTCTCTGTCTACCACCCCTCCTAGGCTGATTAGATTGATGAGGCTGAGAATGTTGCTGAATATCATCTCCTTTAGTAAGAGAAGAAACTTCTTGTTCAGGATATGAAAGAGGTAAAACAACTTCAGTTGGTTCAGAGGTTATCTGAGCAAATGGAAAATGATCCTCAAAGAATGTGACATCTCTTGAGATAAATACTTTTTTTGTTTGAAGATCATACAGTTGGTACCCCTTTTTACCAGCAGCATAGCCAAGAAATATACTCTTAATTCCTCTTGAATCAAACTTAGACTTAGAGGGTGAGACATTTGCAGCAAAAGTTAAACACCCAAAGGGTTTCAATTTCTCATAGCTTGGTTGTTTGTGATATAGCCTTTCAAAAGGAGTAGCCCACTCTAAGACTGAACTTGGTACCCTATTGATAACATAAGCTGCTGTGAGTATAGCAAAAGGCCAGAAATGTAAAGGCAATGTGGCTTGGAAGAGAAGACTTCTAGCTACCTCAAGAAGATGCCTATGTTTTCTTTCGACGACACCATTTTGCTGTGGTGTATAAACACAGGTAGTCTCATGGACAATTCCTTTCTCATTTAGGAATTCCTGCAAACCCTTATCCAAAAACTCAGCCCCATTATCTGATCTCAGCCTTCTTATTTCAGAATCAAACTGTGTCTTCACCATATGAATGAAAGATTTTATTAGCTGTTGTGTTTGTGATTTATGCATCATCAAAAAAACCCAAGTTCCTCGACTATAATCATCTACTATGGTGAGAAAATAAGGAGTGTGTGTCAAGGATTCTTCCTTACATGGCCCCCATATATCAAGATGAATCAGCTCAAAAACCCTTGAAGTCTGAATGCTACTATTTGGAAACACCAGTCTGTGCTGTTTTGATTTTTGACATACTTCACAAGACTTGATAAGTTTTTCAGCATCTTTATTACATTTGCCTTTCAGAAATTTCAAATGAGTCATAACCGGAAATGAAGCATGTCCTAAGCTATTATGCCAAGTCTCCAAAGAAAAATTACAATCAACTACTGCATCCTTTTCTTCATTGTCTTCATAGATGTATAGATTTCCCTTCAACTTTCCCAGCTTTATCACCTTATCACTCTTCTGGTCCTGCAGATAACAGCTTGTACCAGTGAAGACCCATTTCATATCATTATTTCCACAGAACTGAAGCACAGATAAAAGATTATATTTGAATGTGGGGACCAACAACACATCATGCAGGTGCACTCCTCCTGTTAATGTTACTTCTCCTTTGTGACTAACTGTTTTTATTGTCCCATCAGGTAGACAAATAGACACATTTGTCTTAAGACATTCCAAATTCTTCATTAAGCTAGCTTGTGTGCAAATATGTCTGCTTGCTCCGGTATCAATTATCCACTGCTCTTTATCAACAACATCCAAGGCAGAAAGAGCAAAATGAATATTATTACTTTTACTTGTACCTGCAAAGCTTACAAACTGCGCATAGTCCAGCTGCCCTTGGTTCTCCTTTCCTTTGAAGTATTTGGTCAGTTCTTGTAGCTGAATGAGCATTGAATTGATGTCCTCCGCTTTAACACCATTTTTGTATCCAGATCCTTGCTTGAATATCTCCTCATTCGCCTTCACCTCAGTGCTATTCACATATGCTTTAGTCCTCTGATCTTTAAGCTCCTTGTACCAGTCAGGTATGCCATGAATTTTAAAACAAGTTGCCATGGAATGTCCTGTCATGCCACATTTGTCACACTGGAGTTTAGCTCTTTCCTCTCTAGTGAGTCTGTTAGCACCTCTTCCTTTATTACCATTCCATTGGTCCCCTCTGCCTTTAACATAGCCCCTTCCTTGTCCAGGTAGTGACCTACCATAACCTTCAGCCTTAGCAACCATAGCAACATTCTCAACCCTCTCTCCATAAGTAGTTTGTACTGTCCTTTGCCTCTCAGCAGTTAGTAACATGGAGTAAGCCTTATTAACAGAAGGTAAGGGGTCTAAAAGCATAATCTGATTCCTCACATGTTCATAGCTTTCATTCAGTCCCATTAGGAATTGAATCGGCCTTGTTTCTGCTTCATATTGAGCCATATTTCTCCCTTTTTCACAGTTGCAGCCTTGAGTAGGAACAATACAAGCCAATTCATCCCACAACTTCTTAAGTTTGTTGAAATACTCCATGATCGAACTATTTCCCTGAGTGAGACCAGTTATTTCCCTCTGCAACTTATATCTCATTGGACCACTATTTTCCCCAAATCTCTGGCAAACATCCTCCCACAAGTCTTTCGAAGTTTCAGCATATATGAAGGATTCGGCTATTTCTTTAGACATTGAGTTTAACAACCAAGACAGGACCATCCAATCAACTTTTCTCCAAACCGCATAATTCTCATCATTTTCACTAGGTTTCAGCATTTCACCATTAACAAATCCTAGTTTGGTCTTTGCCCCTAACGCAATGATCATAGATCTTTTCCAGGAGAGGAAATTACCTCCAGTTAGCTGATTCGATACAAGCATCATCCCAGGATGATCAGATCCATGAAGCATCAGAGGATCCTGCTCCACTTTCTTCGAGCTCGACGATGCAGCAGTTAACAGAGGCCATGGATTCTCTCTCCTCGACTCCATTAGAGATCGACACAGCAACTTATATCGATTAGCTTCAAATCAATACTCGAATTAACTGAAATCGTTCGAAAATCACGATCGAACCTGCTCACGATACCATGTTAGCGAGCTCAATTTTAGAGAGAAAAATCGAGAATATACATCACAAGTTGTACTAGTCAGAGGGGAAAAGAAACTAAGGAGGGACACAATATGTATATTATCCTGCTTCTTATCAGGTCTAAGTATGCCATCTATCAAAAATACTCTCACATGCCCATGCTTTCTTTAACTTCTTCTCCAAATTATCTGGAGGAATTTTCGCAAGGAAAAGACAAAACAAGTCCCAAGTTGTTTCAAATCCTACAGGTTATTTACACGGCTTACTTAATAAAAAGACAGTATATCAGGCGAACCTTCTGTGTCGGGTAACACGCTTTCGTGCCTTTGTTCGCATCCAAGAAATCCCGGCATCTAAGAGACCTTCATGTTGCCTCTTAAGTGGGCCGTTACTAGGTGGGGGTGCTTTAAATTCGGAAGGAGTTTCGTATTCAATAACATTTGTCACAATTGCATGGACTGAAACTTCACTTTTGGGGACTAAAACAGCCCATTTTTCGACCACCGCTGTCCGTCCATAGTATGGCTCCTTCATCGCTCGTTCTTTCAGGTCCTGAATGATGGAGTCCTTATCTTCTATTAGACAGTCTGTTGAAATCTGAAGAGGATAAACAATCTTAACCTTCAGCAGAAAAGATGTAAAAAATTTGACAAATTGTAGTTTATGCAAGTCTTAAATTGGTTGAGAATATAATATTTAGTTGATTAATCCTTCTGGAAGCAAACTGCTTGACATATTGCGGTTTTGGAGCAGGCAAAATGGTAATTTTCTTGATCCAATGAAACTTTACATCCTTATCTAAGAGCTTGAGTTGATACACAATGAAAGTAACTAATGTAGGGTTCGGGCTGGGGTTTGACGAGTTTCAGGCCACAATCTGGCCGGAACAAAATGGACCAACAAGTATCGGGTTGGCCAATATGCCTAAAAAGGGAATGAAGTCCAATAACTAGAAAGATAGAAAATTATTGTCCTTAGGAATGCAATAAATATTGAACTGTACTTGCCTATCTATTCTCTACTAGTAATTAATTGGAATATGAGACTTAAGCATCAAATAATAAAATGTTTTATACTATTTCTGCTAATATATATTGGAATATGCATTCGAAGTATAAAAAAGGAACATGTTTTATAACTTAACGAGCTAACGAAAGTGAACAGTTTTGCTTACTGCACCTATCATGTTATGACATGCTTTTATTGTTTTAAGCTTGATATTTGTTTCTTAAGTTCAGGACCAATAAGGTTAATTAGTCAGCTTCATGCTTGTTCTTACTGATACTAAGAAAGAAAAAAGTAAGTCTAATTGCAAAAAGAAAGAAGCCCCCGTGAGATATATTTTTTTTCTCACCTCAAAGTCAACTGGGATATTGATATTAGTGTACGAACACGTGCAACCGGCGCTCAAGTTCAGTTTCAAGAGAATATCAAAAGGTTTTGCGCTCTTTATAGTCCTCCTGATAAGCAATGAAAGAAAAACTTTTGTCCACTAAAACGAAGCATTGACATGAATGATAACCTGTAATCGTGAGTCATTCTCTCTTTGTGCTTCCATATTCAAAAGGTATATTGTGATTGACAACTTACAACTGTCAACCATAACATCCGTCTTTACAGATTAATTATGCAGCACTCGACATTATAATCAAATAAAAGGACACACCTTTTCAGCTGAAAAGGCTGGTCATCTAAGACTGCTCCTTTCATGTTTAAACTCTCGGAGAAGGACACCTATCAATTCAAATACCAAATGAAGTCACACAAATTCACAAGTGGAGCAAAGGGGATGACACTGGACACGCGAGTGATCTAGTTATGTTGATTAGTTATCTATTAACCTATTAGCTCAAATAGATAACATTACAAATCACGTAATGAATAAAAATAGCTATGATTCAGGTAGCAAGTATCAAATTATGAAACCACTAAATTTGCTAAAAAGAAGTATTATCACTAGTTCTTTTGCTTTATTTCTTTAATCAAATAGTGTACGAAGGTATCTATGGTAAGCATTAGCATTTCAAGAAGAACATGGCTTCCTAAATATCTATTTCGGACAAGAGGAATACAAATATCTTGAACCTACCTCAACAGATTTAACAAACGGTAAAGGTGCTTGCTTTGCATGAACACTTGCTATTCTGAGGGCCCAGTTGACATACTTTTTATCTGGGAAAGACTAAAGTTGGTTGTCAATATCAGGAATTACATAAAATACTCGTAAGCATTCAGACATGAGTAGATCTGTATGCAAGCAACAAAGCAACAAAAGTGTTACATCGTTAACATGAGTAAGATGAAAATGTTATTTGCCGAACACAAAACAATAAAAATCCATGAACTTAACAATAGCATCTGACATAAAAGTCTATCGAGCATGTATAGCATTGTTACAATAAAAAATACCATGGAAGAGCTTATAGAAATTACCTAGACTCAAAGCCTGCGTTATAATGATTTGGAGCAGATCAATCCTAACAAAAGGAGGTATACGCATATTGAGCATGTTCATTACTCCTGTGATCACCTGTTAAAGGTTGATTAAGCAAGCAGCTTCAACCAAATGGCAAGATAACTAGAAAAATTAATGTTGCAGGAACATTGCCATTCATTTTACAAATAAGGCCAGACGCAGTGTTCTTAGTACAATCCATGCCCTTTCATAACAGGGAAGAAATTGCTAAGAATCTAAATTGCAGAAATGACATGGTGAGTTGCTAAGAAGACTTTGTTGCTTTATCTAGAAAGAAATAAAATCCACAAATCAATTCCCACTTATCAAGCTCCCCATGATTCTCTGGATGCGTGAGTAAGGGTACCACAGCCGTTTGACTTTTCACAGAATCGCCAGCACTTTTTATGAAATCAATTATCTTAGGTATAACACAATGTTTAGGATATTTTCCTGAATGAATAATTCATTCAGTAGCAACAGCAAAAAGAAAAATAAAAGAAAATGACACTTTACAGCAAGAGAAAATCACCTTATCTACACGGCCATGAATCACCAAGCTTGCTTTCTTGTCCTTTGGAGTTTTCTGTTTCATGGGAATAAGATGAGATAGAAGTAAATGATAAGATATTTCATGTTTCAATTTAAATTTTATTAAGTGGGATAACCTTTTCGCCGGCTATCAAGGTGTAGATGATGAGAGAGGAAAAAAAA